TTTAGCATCACCACAACTAGCCCATGAAGAGTAACCCAGGAAACTTAGCACTGGGAATTTCTTACTTGTAACTATTTCAACAAATATATTTTTAAATAATTTTATTTTATGCGCATTGTTGTAAGAGTGTCAGATCCCCTGGAACTGGAGTTACAGACAGTTGTGAGCACAGAATTGAACCCTGGTCCTCTGGGAGAGCAGTCAATGCTCTTAACCACTGAGCCATCTCTCCAGCCTCCAACAAACATTTTTAAAGTATGTGCTAAGAGCTGAGGATGGAGCCTAGCCGGTAGAATGTTAATTGTTATGCATGAAACTCTGGATTCACTTTCTAATAACACATAAAACCAGGATTGGTAGGCCGATGAGATGGCTAAAGATGAGTGGGTAAAGGCACTTATTTATAAGGCTGGTGACCTCAGTTTGATCCCTGGATCCCACATGGTAGAAGGAGGGAAGAGTCTTCCACAAGTTGGCCTCTGATCTCCATATAGGTGCTGTGGTGCACGCACACCACACTACACACACACTTGCACAGAACATAGTAACACTTTTTATTCCAGGACTCAGGAAGCAGAGAAAGTGGATTTATGTGAGTTTGAGACAAGTCCAGTATACATAGTGAGTTCTAGGTCAACCAGGGCTACATAGTAGGATTGTCAAAAAAAATCAAATAAATAAATGCAAAACAACAAACAGGCATGGTGGTATAGGCCTGTACTCCCAGCACTGGGGAGATAGTGGCAGGAAAATAAAATAAAGTATATACAAAATGTTCAGCACTGAACTGGGTAATAGTAGGGATTTCAAAGGCATCTTGTGCTCATAAACTCTTGTTCAGGGTAAATGTAAACCCCTATAATGTGTATTTGGTTGGAATACCACTTTATCTGCAGCACCTGTAATGCCCAAACATAGAAGGTATACAGATGACACACAGAACAGATTAAAGAATTCTGTCAAACCTCATGGGTGATGATAACCTTGGGGAAAAGTCTTCCTCTCTGAGCTTCAGGCTCCTCATCACCGAAAGGTACAGAATGGAACATGATAACCTCCAGTTCTAAACATTAAAACTTCATGTTCAGGGGCTGGAGTTGTGGGGCTGGAGAGATGGTTCAGCGGTCAAGAGCTCTTCTAGAGGACATGGTTTGACTCCCAGTACCCATGATGGAGACTTACAGCTATCTGTAACTCTAGTTCCAGGGGATCCAACACCTTTTCTGACCTCTAAGGGCACCAGGCACACACAGGGTACACAGATATGCATGCAGCAAGGTACCCACATACAAATAAATTAAAAGAAAAAATTAAATGTCTTGTCCCCAAAGTTCACATATTGTAGGCCTGGTCCCCAGGGTGGGTACTGGGAAGCAATGGGACCTTTAAGAGATGGGTCCCAGTTGGAAGCCCCTGGGATGTTGGGGACACACACGCTTTCCGAAGGATCGTGCTGTAACCTGTCACTTGTCCCACACCCCTTCTCCCCTTGCTGCTGACTCAAGATGGGGTGCTTCCTCCTATGCTAGGTCTACCATGTGGTCCTCACCTCGGGATCTGATGCAGAAGCCATGTCCCGAGTCCCTCAGGAACCTCGAGTTAAAACAAACCTCTTTTCTAGCCAGGTGGTGGTGGCGCATGCCTTTAATCCCAGCACTGGAGAGGTAGAGGCAGGTGGATCTCTGTGAGTTCAAGGCCAGCCTGGTCTACATAGTGAAACCCTGTCTCAAAATAACCAAAACAATAACAAAAACCCTCTTTTCTTAAACACTATCCCCATATTTGTTATATTGACAGAAGTTGTTTAATATATAGCAACATTCTCAGTTCAACTTGATAACATTTGTGGAACATTTATTTTATCTCCTGTGCATACTAACCTAAACAGTAGGACAAGACAGAAAAATGAGGTTCCTGGAGAACACCTGAGTGGCATCAGTGCCCCTTACTCACTCACTCAGTTTAAGTGGTTCTGAAAACCAGCTCTGTGCCAGGTGGCTAAAGGACTGTCTGGGTGGTGCCTTACCAGCCTGAGGTGACCATTTATCATATGGGTGTCAACAGAATACGACTGCCCAGGTGGAGATATTGTTTTTTAACATTTATTTTTATTTATGTGTATGTGTGTGTGCCTGTTCCTGTGTGTATGTATGGCCTGTATGTGAGGGAACCCATGAAGTCAGAAGAGAGTATAGGAGCCCCTGGCTGTAGTTACATGTTGTTGTGAGTCACCCCATAAGGGTGATGGGAACCAAACTCATGTCCTCTGGAAGAGTAGTTAGGACTCCTAACAACTGAGCCCTCTCTCCAGCTTGAGTTTTTTTTTTTAAACAAAAAAATCTAACAAAAATGGAGGGGTAGAGTAAACCATCTATTACCTCTTACAATGGCAGGGCTCTTGGGAAAGGACTGGATGGTGAAAAGCAGGAAGGGGTTGTAGGAGTAGAGGAAAACACATCTCAGCCAGGGCTGGAATTCTGGCTGGGAAGGCAGGCAGCAGGATTCAGATTTCAGCTAGGGTAGCAAGGTTTCCAGTCATGCCCAGGCCCTATGAGCTTTCCTCTGAACAGGCTCTGATCTCTAAAACTGGAAGCATCACATCATCCAACAGCTTTCTGGTCCATAACAGCACTGAAGGGCCAGTGTGCAGTTCCCACTGCCCTGTGGATGTGTGCAGTTCCCACTGCCCTGTGGATGTGTGCAGTTCCCACTGCCCTGTGGATGTGTGCAGTTCCCACTGCCCTGTGGATGTGTGCAGTTCCCACTGCCCTGTGGATGTGTGCAGTTCCCACTGCCCTGTGGATGTGTGCAGTTCCCACTGCCCTGTGGATGTGTGCAGTTATTGGGGCCCACCCCAGGGAAGAGATGTAGTCACCAACGCTGTGCAACCACTGCCTTGTGGAGGTGTCCTGTTACCACTGCCCTGTATATGTCTGTAAAACATTTATCTGGCAATGAAAGAACTGACAAGGCACTTTGAGTGTGATTGGTTTTGGCAGTTGGAAATATTTCAATTAACACACTATAAAAGCCACACTATAATAAATGCAAAACAGGCCAATGAAATCAGCTACAGCCCTGACTTTCCAACCATGGCAAAGGAGATTGAATGTCAGGCTGCCACTTTGGGACCTTGGTCTTCTAGAAGGAGACGCCTGAGACAGACAAGCCTGAATTCCTGAAAAGCTTTTGATAGTTGCTTCCAGAAGCCATCAAACCACAGAAGAAGAAAGCCTAGGCTCCTTCCCTAGGCCTTCAGAATGCCATCAGTCTGGCCCCATGTCTCCATTCCAGCCTCTCTTACCCCTCCTACATCAGAACTGTGAGGTGCAATCTATCAAGGCTACTGCTAGTCCCTGAGCCTGGCCTGGGACTTCCCACCTCTCCACCTTTGGTCTTATTGTTTCTTCTGATGAGAACATCAGTGCTTCTTTCCTACCTGCTGACACCTCTGCCTAATAAAAACCCTCTCACCCCACCTCTGCTTCATCTAACTCCTGTTATGACCTTTCTCCTTTCCCCTCTGCTCTTCCCTTCCTCCTTCTAAGCAGGCCCCCTTCCACTTTTTATTACCACACAAGCACTGGCTGTTGTGAGATTAAGGACCCAATTAGTCTTTAATTAGGCAGACTATTGTCTCTTTTGTTGTACAAAAGGGGACAGCACTATGAGAAGAATCATAATACTGCAGTACATATGGGAGGTGGCTTAGAAATTCCAGCACAAACGGCTTGCTATTCTTGCACTGTTGTTCAAAGGAGGCCCTCTTCTCTTGGACAGGCTATTTTATATGGTCAACTGATGCTGTCTATGGAGCAAGACAGGAAGAAGTGTGCCCAGCCCACTATGGCAAGCCATGTAACTCTGGTTATCAGAGAGATGTCAGGTATCCCAGCCTGAATGCCTTCACAGTTGAACATTCTTCTATTCTTATTGCCTAACTACATTTAGTTTTCCTGTCTCCAATTTTTCTCCCCTCTAATTATATCATTAACACCATTTTCAGCTAGTGGGCACTTGCTTTGGAATAGCTATTCACTGAACTATTTATGTATGTTACCACATTTAATATTTATAATCAACCTATGGGTTGGAGCCACATTATTCCTGCTTTACACATAGGGAAATGATTTAGAGAGATGGGGAAACTGATCCCAAATTAACACAATTGAGATCATAATTTTAGTCACTTTAGTCTTCCTGAAATGTAAATCTGATCATGTCACCCCCTTCATTTAAAGTCCCTAAGAATTCTCTGCTTGGTAGGAGAGGGAGCCCAAGCCTTCCGTCATGACCTCGTTCCTTTCCTTCTCATAGACATACTCAGTCACTTAGAGGATTCCCAAGTTTAAGTAGGGAAGGCCATGTAAGCAGCAATACTGAGCCTGTGTGTCTGATGGTCAGACATGTCCCCTGCAACCTTTCCTGCTAGGTGACAGAGGCTTACCTAGGAAAGGCTGCCCACATAAAATGACTTCTCTTTTGGAGGAGTGCTGGGTGTCACGTCCAGCTGAGAAGGTGGCCAAAGGAAGCCCCTGAGACAGCCCAAAAGGCAGCCAAGGAGACATGAGGAAGAGAGGGCTTTTGTGTAAAAACAAAAGGAGCAGTAGCCTGGCCACAGGTGAAGCTAAGAATTTCAGCAAAAAGTAAGGTGTTCTTTGTCCTAAGATGAAGGTGACCACTGATCCCATTCCTATCTAAACATCTTTTGTCATTGAAACCCATAATGAAGTGGTGTCTCGGAGTATGTCATACATTCAGTAATTAACTTCTGTAAAAAGAAAAAAAAAGTCTCTTTCTCCATTCTATGTGCCCCACTTCCTGAATCATCTGACTTTTCTGTTCTATGCTAAGCATCTTGGCCCCTTACCTAAACACTACCAACCCTGATGTGTGACCACAATTAGCACCCTTCTGTCAGGCAGGCCACCCTCCTTAAGATGCTGCTTTTCGCCGGGTGTTGGTGGCGCACGCCTTTAATCCCAGCACTAGGGAGGCAGAGGCAGGAGGATCTCTGTGAGTTCGAGACTAGCCTGGTCTACAAGAGCTAATTCCAGGACAGCCT